TGTAAACTTGTGAACTTTGGGGAAAATGAGGGTAGCTCATTGCTACTCCTTCATTCCATCCACGTCAACTGCCCTCCAGACAATTAAGGACAAGGCCTCCTCAGAAGTTCAGTTAAGACCCTGGCTATTGGAAGTTATGGTGCCACTCCTCCATTCCATCCACTACCACTGGGGTTTGTCAGGCCTCACTATCATCACAACCACCATCAGAGAAGACCCAAAGACCATAACTGGCCTGAAGACATCTGAAAAAGCATAAAAAACTGAAAAGCAAAAGCCTTTAGGAGGGATCAGAGAAACACTCGGAAGCAAGAGAAAGGGAGCACTGAGCTGGGCTCTTTTTCCAAGAAAAATAAGAGTGCACAATTTCTTTTATCAGCCTTTGTAATCATGCAGCTATACTCTTTCCAAAAGGTTGTTTTATGTTTGTCTGCGGGCAATTACACCTTTTAATAAATATAGATTTTACTGTAACTGAGCCCAGTATGGCAGATTGATTCATTTAGGCGTTTATCTGTTCAGTCTAGTACTACTAATGATGTATCATTAATCATGACTGGAATGCAGCTTTGAATTTTTTAATTGTATCCTTAACTGCTTCCAACACCCCTCCGGTCTGAGAGGTCAGCCGAAAATTCATCCCACACACAATCTTTAAACTCTAGACCTTTGAATAAGTTAAAAACTTTGTTTCAAAAATTAATCCGTAGAACCAATTTACCGTTGAAACTTGCATCCACTCAGTAAAGTCACTGACGGGTGATGAGAATCAATCAGGCTGGCCAAAAAGTTAATGATTAATGTCGCATGAACTTGGCAGAGGCAGCTCAAAAATTGATTGAAGAAACACAGAGACAAGTTGATATGCAGCAAAATAATCAATATGCAATAAAATTAATAGGCGTGTCAAGAAAATACTGCATCTCCGATGTCTCTCCTGAGCAATCCTGCATTCAGAATTTATTTCTGACCTTCGGATGGGGAAATTACAGTTGTAAATCCTTTTATGCCTGTAGATAGGAGCTGGTAAGCATTGTCAGGGCTGAATTTATCCATTGTTTCACTTGATGATCGCCACTTTCTGAATGCTATTTTCATTCTTTTCCCTAGAACTATTAGGAAGGCAATTTGATGCGAAAATATCACACATTTAATATACTGTATATTCATTTTAGGCTGCCACATTTTTTTTTTGTATAATCTGTTTTTGTTAAAGATTTTCAGAGTTTCAAAACAGAAGGTAAAAAAGCAGTAAGGATAAGATGTACTGAAGCATATAAGGCAAATAGCAGTATTAGAAAAGGGTCCAACAGTAGACCCAGTGTACAATAATGTAATACATGCATAATTCCAGCATATGGTACATGGTACATAACAGATAACATGCAACATACCCCCCACCCACCATCTGGCCAATGAGAAGCAGCACAAAACTTATCACCTAGAGATCTGACCACCACGCAGGAGCTACGTCTCTCCACGAGGCTAGCCAATCTTAGGGCGAATGGTCAAACATGCCCCGTATACTTCAAGCTTCAAACATAGATTGTATAAATAACATATATAGCACAAAGGGCATTTGCAGGAACTCAGCACTCATGTGCGATAAGGCAGAACATATAAAAAAACAACCAGGGAAAAGAAAAGTAAAGAGTGAGAAGCAAAAGGAAAAAAGAACAGTAAAGGCCGTACAGTAGAATTGAACTAGTAACAGTATAACAGGATTGAGGGCGCAACGCTCGGGGCAGGACAGGAGGGGAGCAACCCGGGGAGAAGAACCCTGGAGAGACCAACCACACGGCTAGCCATCTATCGAGATTCTGGGTCTGAGCAAGTATAGGGGACCAGCTGGGAGGGGGGGGGGGGTCTGGAGGTGCAGACAAGAGACCCAAGGAAAGGATCAAAAATCATATAGAGCCCGTATCTGAAGGAGAGGTAACGGGGTCCTCCAATTCCATAGAGTAGTACAGCCACCCTCCCCAAAGGCTGGCACATTTTTTAAGTAGATTTTGCCAAACACTATTTTCAATAAAAATACATAATATCATTATAAGCACACAATGGTTTTGCACAGAGCAGCCCCCCGAGCAGTGCCCCCAGGCCACACTGCTTGCTCTGGGGGCACCGCTATGTGCTCGTCCTGAGCCGCTGTTATTATTATTATACAGTATTTATAAAGCGCCAATAGTTCACTCAGCGCTGTACATTACAAAGGGGGACAGAACATGTGACAGAACAACAACAATACAATGCAAAACATGAGGGGATCGAGGGCCCTGCTCTTTCCAGCTTACAATCTAGGAGATTCTATGCATCTATAAAGCCACAGCTTGACCCTGCACCCCACTCTCTCTTCATTGGCTCCTCATTGATTATTGACAGCAACGGGAGCCAATGGGCGTTGCACACAGTTTTTTTTACCTCCATGCATAGAATGCATGAGCCTTTAGAACCACTTTAAATGTAGCTCCAGATCTTTGACATTTATGGATATGAGAATGTTATCAGTCTCTTCCAAGCAGTAGGCAACATTTCTTCAATCTCTTCTATACGAATGAACAGACTGCATCATTAAAACTTTGTAGCAATTCACATGATGAAAGGCTGCAGCAAGGGTTGATCTGTGTCAGACATTTGTGAACACAGCCAAGAGCTAAATTTACATCATTCTGTCATCTCTGAGCCATAATCTCAGTCCAGAAATTAGATGATGATCTTGGATATTGTCTGGCCAAAGATGAGTCTGTACTTTTTGGGAGAAAATCAGATACATTCAGTCAAGGGCAATACTTTGATCTCTGTGATAGGCAGTAAAATTACATATTATTATGCATTGCCAACATGGAAAACTATTGTATGTAGGTCAACTTTAACCACTTTAGCTCCGAAAGATTTTACCTCTGTCATGACCAGGCCAGTTAATAAAGACCAAGAATTTTGTAAAAAAAAAAACAAAACAATATTTTTTACTTTCAGCTATAAAACATATCCAATAAAAACCATCAAATTTCTTCATAAATTTAGGCCAAAATGTATTCTGCTACTTGTCTTTGGTTAAAGAAAAATCCCAGGATATGTACAGGATGTACAGTATATTAATTGGCTTGTCTTATAGCTATAGTATCTACAAACTGCTATATATACTGGAATTTATTTTTATAATAGTACCGGCAGTGAACAGTGACTTATAGTGGGACTGTGATAGTGACACTGCTCAGGAACTGACTGACACTGACATCACCAGTGACACTGATACAGTGATCGGTGATACTACTATACACTGCCACTGTAATCAAAGGGTTAATTGTGTGCCTAACAAGTGTTAATGTGTGTAATGTGTGCTGTTTTTTTTTTAATTAAAAATCTGTTTGTTTCTTCTCCCTGCTTTTCTGGGAGAGGAAACAAAGAGATTGTTCTCTGTCAGGAAGGTCATGCTAATACACAAGTTTGCTCTTCTTGATGGACTTCTGTGCACAGGCTAATACATGTTCCCTCTTGTGCTCTTAATTGTGTACATGCGTGTATGCGCGCATACATTGGTACTCATACCCTTGTGAATATGTGGGCATGCAGCTGCACATGTGCACGTATGACAGATGCTGGCGCCAAACGGCCTATTTAAACTAGATGCTCCTGATCCTGTGTTCCTGTGACCTTATATCTTACTTTCCATTGGTGACTTGGATTGTCCTGACTACCCCCTCTGCCTGCACCGACCTCAACTTGTCCTTGGACCTTCGCTTCTGTCTGTTCCATTGTCTTCTGTTCCGCTGATCGGCTTCCAGCCCGACTTGCAACTAGACCATGCTTCTGCCCAGTACCTGATCTGTCCTGATGGTGTATGACCTGGCCTGTCTGAATCCGCTACTTGCCTGCCACCACTGGTACCTACCACTCTGCTGATCCTGCCGATCTACTGTCTGCTACCAGACACTCTCTCATCTGCCCGCTATCGCCAGTCTTCTTCAATCTGCTACCCAGCTGCCTGCCAGTCTGCCTGCCTCACTGAAGACCCCTGATGACTTCACCTGTACATCTGTTCTGCTGCTAGCAAGACTTACAGGCACCCGTGCCACTCTGCACTCCTGCACCTTCTGGTTACACTACCAGGGGCCCCAAGTCAGAGGTGTAAGAGAGGCTTTCCTCATCATTTTTCAGGCTCTGCTACCAGGTATGTGATATTCTCATTGTGCAGTGCCCTGCGTTTGGACAGCCGGGAATCATTGGCCGGGACCTGCTGACAAAATCCTCCTGTATCAATCACAACGGGATTTGGCAGACAGGGTTGCACGCCCCGGACCTGGAAACAGCGATGTACAGGTATGTAGCTGTGCCTGTAGGAGCTGCCCATCTACAGTAAAATGCAGGCGGGCGGGCTGGTGGTCCTAAAGCAGTTAATAAGGCACTTCAAACAGCAAACCCAAAATGCTGTAACCCATAGCAAGCCATCAGATTTCTGAGCCCTGAAGTCATAAAAGATTAATTCTACTTACCGGATTTTTCGCTCCATAAGACGCACTTTTTTCCCCCCTCAGCGAATATAAAGCGGCTGGTGCGGTATTTCCACTGCCACCATGTCAGAATACCGGGCCGGCCGCTCAGCTGTTGTCTGCGGCAGGAACTCACCTGTTCCTCGGTCCAGCTCTGTAGTCTTTCCGTGCCGGCTTCTTCCCGCCCTGGCATCTGTGACAGCCGGGTGCCCACTGCACATGCGCGAGAAGCGCTGTGCTTTGTGAATGGTCCGGCGTCTTCTGGGACACATGACAGGTCGCATGCGCAGTGGGCACCCAGCTGTAAAAGCCGGGTGACCACAGTATAGGAAGCAGAACTCCGCGGAAGTGGGAACGGGTACCTGTCAAATTCAGGTACCCACTCCCCCTCCCTCCCTAAAGGTCCGCAGTCTCTGGTCATCCTCTGTACTGTCCGCAGTCTCTGGTCATGCCCTGTACTGTCTGCAGTCTCTGGTCATCTCCTGTTCTGTCTGCAGTCTCTGGTCATCCCCTGTACTGTCCGCAGTCTCTGGTCATCCCCTGTACTGTCCGCAGTCTCTGGTCATCCCCTGTACTGTCCGCAGTCTCTGGTCATCCCCTGTACTCTCTGCAGTCTCTGGTCATCCCCTGTACTGTCTGCAGTCTCTGGTCATCTCCTATACTGTCCGCAGTCTCTGGTCATCCCCTGTACTGTCCACAGTCTCTGGTCATCCCCTGTACTGTGTCTGCAGTCTCTGGTCATCCCCTGTACTGTCCGCAGTCTCTGGTCATCCCTTGTACTGTGTCCGCAGTCTCTGGTCATCTCCTGTAATATGTCTGCAGTCTCTGGTCATTCCCTGTACTGTCCGCAGTCTCTGGTCATCCCCTGTACTGTCCGCAGTCTCTGGTCATCCCCTATACTGTCCGCAGTCTCTGGTCATCCCCTGTACTGTCCACAGTCTCTGGTCATCCCCTGTACTGTCTGCAGTCTCTGGTCATCCCCTGTACTGTCTGCAGTCTCTGGTCATCCCCTGTACTGTCTGCAGTCTCTGGTCATCCCCTGTACTGTCCACAGTCTCTGGTCATCTCCTGTACTGTGTCCACAGTCTCTGGTCATCTCCTGTACTATGTGCTCAGTCTCTGGTCATCTCCTGTAGTATGTCTGCAGTCTCTGGTCATCTCCTGTACTGTGTCCGCAGTCTCTGGTCCATCTCCTGTACTGTGTTCGCAGTCTCTGGTCATCTCCTGTACTATGTCCGCAGTCTCTGGTCATCTCCTGTAGTATGTCCGCAGTCTCTGGTCATCCCCTGTACTGTGTCCGCAGTCTCTGGTCATCTCCTGTACTGTGTCCGCAGTCTCTGACCATCTCCTGTACTATGTCCGCAGTCTCTGGTCATCTTCTGTACTGTGTCCACAGTCTCTGGTCATCTCCTGTAGTGTTTCCACAGTCTCTGGTCCATCTCCTGTACTGTGTCCACGGTCTCTGGTCATCTCCTGTACTGTGTCCGCAGTCTCTGGTCATCTCCTGTACTATGTCCACAGTCTCTGGTCATCTCCTGTACTATGTCCGCAGTCTCTGGTCATCTCCTGTACTGTGTCCGCAGTCTCTGGTCATCTCCTGTACTATGTCCGCAGTCTCTGGTCCTTCTCCTGTACTGTATCTGCAGTCTCTGGTCATCTCTTGTACTGTCTGCAGTCTCTGGTCATCCCCTGTACTGTGTCCGCAGTCTCTGGTCATCTCCTGTACTATGTCCGCAGTCTCTGGTCATCTCCTGTACTGTGTCCGCAGTCTCTGGTCATCTCCTGTACTATGTCCGCAGTCTCTGGTCCTTCTCCTGTACTGTATCTGCAGTCTCTGGTCATCTCCTGTACTATGTCTGCAGTCTCTGGTCATCCCCTGTACTGTGTCCGCAGTCTCTGGTCATCTCCTGTACTGTGTCTGCAGTCTCTGGTCATCTCCTGTACTATGTCTGCAGTCCATTGGTTCAGAATATTTTTTTTCTTGTTTTTCTCCTCTAAAACCTAGGCGCGTCTTATGGTCAGGTGCGTCTTATGGAGCGAAAAATACGGTAGTTACTATGGGTTACTGCCCCCTGAATGTTGTTCTTTGCCTAGTTCTATCATTGCTTCTTGTTACAAAAATACTACTCTGTAGATTACATTTCATTAGGAATGAGCTTCGGGTTCAGGTCAATCATGAGCTCAACTCGAATGCAAACTCTTCACAGATTTGGCCAGTTTGCCCACCTGAACCTCAGGCTGCTGCAACTGGAAGTCATTTGTTTGGTGGTGGTATTACTACATCCATTAAATGACAGCTTCCTGACACCCACTAGCTTGTTTCAAATTGTAAATAAGTCAGTGGCCATGGTGATGTTATCGGTCATGACCATATTTGGTTCATGACATCACCAAGGATCCCCAACCAGTTTGTTGACCTTTAGCAGCCAGCTGTGGAGCTATCATTTGTGGATAGGATTGCCATGTTGTGATCCGTCATATTTTTGTTGGTGGGGCAGTGTGATTTGAATGTGGTGTGGGAAAAGTGCACAGAACGTGGGTTTCCCACACCGCGTTCTGGTGTGAACTGGCCCTTAAATAACATGCTTGGGGCTGCCCTGTGAAGTAGCACACCTGTAGGGTGCATGTCATAGTGATAATAATAATGAGTGATGTCATTGACCACGTATGGTCATGGCCATCTATGGTCAATGGTGTCAGCCAAAAAAAAAAAATGGTATTGATTTGTAGAGCTTGTATTTGCTCATTAGGGCATCAAGCTCACAGGTAACACTTTTCTCAAATCCGGAGGGGATTGTACTGTGTGTTGCCCACATTGCTGGAATTTGTATCATCCTGCAACCACAATTCTCTAATGCAGTGAGAGCGGTTATCATAAATGTCATCTGCTGCTGGTACAGTAGAAATACGCTGTCCTTCTGCTCTTCTGCTGGGTATTGACTAAGTAAAGCACGTGTTCAGTAGTAGGTAAGTCTTCCTGATTATATACAGTAATTCCCAAATATATGAATACAAGCAGTATGAGGCACTGCAGGTTCACCAAGATGTGAAAGAAAAGGTTCAGGCTGCTGTAGTGATAAAAGAGTCACCCATGTCGGACTGCACAGTGGCTCAATGGTTAGCACTTCCACCTGGCAATACTAGAGTCATTGTTTCAAATCCCAACCACAGCACCACCTGCCTGGAGTTTGTATGTTCTCCCTGTGCCTGTGTGGGTTTCCTCTGAGTACTCTGGTTTCCTCCCACACTCCAAGGACATGCTGGTAGGTTAATTGGCTCCTGTCTAAATTGGCCCTAGTATGTGTATGTGTGAATGTGAGTTAGGACCTTAGATTGTACACGCCTTGAGGGTTAGGGACTGACGTGAATGTACAATATATATGTAAAGAACTGCGTAAATTGAATTGAAATAAATAATCCACATCCGTAATCTGATTGTGTCCTGTAGTCAAGGAAGCAGAGCATTTATAGAGTGCTTTATTACGTTTATCTCCAGAAGATTTACCCCCATCCTGACCAGGCCATTTTTTGTGATACAGCACTGCATTATTTTAACTGACAATTGCACCGTCATGCAACGCTGTACATAAATTACATTTATGGCATTTTTTCCCACAATTAGAGCTTTCATTTGGTGGTATTTGAACTCCACTGCATTTTTATGTTGTTGAGTCATCATGCACACGGGACGTTTTGATAATGCTGGTAACATTAGCTGTGTAAAATCACATTAAAAAGGTGAGTTTTTCAGCTTTTTTTTAGCGTTTTTTTTTTTGCATTAGCAGTGTTTTCCCATGTTTAGCGACGTTTTCCCGCGTTTTTCCGTGTTTTTATGCATTTGCCTTTTTTAGCATTTTTTTACCAAAAAAAGTCCAAAAACTCGAAACCCACTAGTTCTGGGTTTTTTTTCCAGCCAAAAAACTCCCCTGCCCAAAAACGTTGATTACGGTCTATGTGTGCATGGACACATAGGATAACAGGATGAGGGGTTTACTAGCTATAGAAAAAAAAAACGTCAAAAGCCAAAAACAGCTGCTGTAAAAATGCGTCAAGTGTGCATGAGGACTCATGCTATAAACAAAAAAGATCAACAATTTTGAAAAAAAAAGAACAGGTTTTTTTTACGTTCTACTATAAAACATATCCAATAAAACAAAAATGTAAAAATCAAGTTCTTCATAAATTTAGGCCAATATGTATTCTGCTGCATATTTTTGCTAAAAACAAATCTCAATAAGCATATATTGGGTAGCACAGTGGCTAAATGGTCAGCACTTCTGCCTGGTAGCACTAGGGTCTTTGGTTCAAATCCCAACCACCTCCCTGAAGTTTGCATGTTCTACTTGTGTGGGTTTTTTCCCACACTCTACAGACACACTGGTAGGTTAATTGGTTCCTGTTTAAATTGGCCCCAGTATGTATGAATGTGAGTTAGAGACCCTAGATTGTGTGATTCTTGATGGTTAGAGACTGATGTGAATGTACAATATATATATATATATATATATATACACATACACATATAAAGCACTGTGTAAATTGACAGCGCCATGTAATAATAATATTGGCTTGCACAAAAATTATTTAGTCTACAAACTATGGGATACATACTGGAATTTTTTTTTAAACTAGTAATGGCGGCGATCAGTGACTTATAGCGGGAATGAGATATGTGGCAGACATTTTTACACTAACTGAAACTTTGTGGGAATCACTGACACTAACACAATGATCAGTGCTAAAAATATGCCCTGACACTGTACTAATGACACCAGCTGGGAAGGAGTTAAACATCGAGGGCAATCAAAGGTTTACCTGTGTGCCTTGCTATGTGTTTTGTGCACTGTGTTAGATGCTTTTAGTAAGGGAAGTGATGGATCTTATTCCCTGCTTTGCAAGGGCCTGCCTAATTGGATACAATTGAAAGTGTTGTTTAGGTTTGACTTCTTATTATATGATTTTTGGTAAATCTAAAGAAAAATTGTACAAGAAAATTGTATAATGTATGGCCAGCCTAAGATTTACGATTAAGCTTCAGTATCTACAACCCCTGTCACCCAGGACAGTAAACAACTGAATATCTGACCAATTAACCTTTTTGTTGTGATAGTTATACAGGTATCGTCTGCCTGTTGAGTAGAATTAGCATAGGAATAGCTTGCCAACTCTGTCAATCTTGAAGACCTCCCTTTCAATGTGTAAATGGACCTTGTCTACATGTATATCAGGAATATATACTGTATGTTTGTATATATATATATATATATACTGTATCTATATCCAGACACACATATACTACATACATACATACATTCATACATACACCTAAATATAAAATCACAGTGGATCACTTTTCAGAGGGTGTTTGACAGGTGGCAAGAAAGCATTATAATGCCTCCTCACCACCTAATTTAATCCCTAAAAACCTGCACCACCTAGCTGTAACTGTGTTCATTGTACATGGTTGTATGGTGACCTCATTCACTGAAATTGGTTGTATTTTGCCACTGAATGTGATGAGGGAAATCTTTTTGTATACCCCAATTTACTGCCTTTGCCATTACCCCTCCTAACCACTGCACACTGTATGTTACAAATTCCAGACCACTGCATTCTGTGCACAACCCACTCCTGAGCCCTGAGCTATGTACATTACCTAGTCATGGCCCCATGCACTCTGTATGGTACTCACTCCTGACTACTAAGCTACGTTCATTACCTGACCCCTGAGCTATGTACATTACTTAGTCATGGCCCCATGCACTCTGTATGGTACTCACTCCTGACTACTAAGCTACGTTCATTACCTGACCCCTGAGCTATGTACATTACCTACTCCTGACCCCTGAGCTATGTACATTACCTACTCCTGACCCCTGAG